CACAACCCAAGTACAGTTGTTTTGTATCTGAATTTTGTCATTTCATATTCCAACTCAAAGTTTTCACTTTTTTTAGGGGGTAGGTATACCCAGAGCTCATTCATAACTTCATGCTTGCTAGGCAGGTGCTGTGCCACTGAGCTATATATCCCTGACCCAGTTTTCACATTTTAATATTATAATCTTAACAGTTATTCTGATAGTATTCATTACAGTCATACCCCACTGCTTTAGGGTGAAGTACAGCAAGCAATTACCACAGCTCCCAAGTCTTTCCTCTCTTGATTGTGGTGGGGGTGGTCTTGGTTCTTTACTTTTTGCAGTCTAACTTGGATCCTTTGCACCTAGAAGTGGGCTAGGGTTCACTCACTGTTCTTGCCTCCACCCCAACCTCTGCCTAAAGCAGCCAAACTTGGTCTTGAAAGTCGGATGAAAGATAGATAAATATAGAATTGGTATGTTGAAACTAGGAGAAAGATTTTGAGTGGTTCTGTTTGCTAAATGTGGGCTGCAGCTTGGCAGAAACCAGTTCATATTGGTAAAGAAAATCAGTGCTTCAGTTTATAGTACCCTAAAGGTAAAGAAACTGATTTCACCTAATACCAAGATCAGAGAAATCTATGTCCCTTGAGTCCTTATAAAGAGGACACTGTTGATTGATGTTCTCAACAATGTGTTTACCATAAACAGGACAGTAGTTTCATAGGACTGTTTTTATAATACCCCTCTATGTACACCAACTGCCTAAAATTGAATGCATTTCTATGAGGAACAGACATCATTTGGTTTTGTGCCTGTTGTTCATGATTATGCTGGGGTAAAGTTGCACATTGACTATAAGAACCCTTCTTCAAATGAAATTTTGTGAGGAAGAAGTGAAGTTGAAGTGAGTAGTGTATGAAGAGCACTACTAGCTTAGCTCCCTATCTCATTTTTCTAACAGTGTAGAATAACTAGAGCTGGGCCGGGGAGATGGCTCAGTGGAATAAGTGCTTCCCTGGGAAGCACAAGGGCCTGAGTTCAATCCACGGTTCTGAAAAAAAAAAAAAGAATAACTAGAGCCTAGAGCACATTATAAAGACTTCTTGTCCAAAAATAAATAAATAAATAACCCCCCCGCAGAACCAGGGATTGAACTTAGGACCTTGCGCTTGCCAGGGAAGCACTTACTCTGCTGAGTCATCTCCCCAGCGCCCCCACTTTTTGATAAATTTTTAAGAAAAGGTGAATTGTTTAGCCTCAAGTGGTTCTTTACAGATCTACCTCAGTTGAAATTTGATTTTGCTCTCTTCTATTTCAAATAAGTTGTCACAAGTTTTTAAAATCCTTTTATTTATCATGTCCTTATTCTCAAACATGGGCTTTTCTCTTTATTTCATCAGTAAGATGACTGTACTTTCTTTAAAAATAATACAAGAGCCCAGCTTTTCTACACTTGTCAAAGAAGATCATGATTCTTGTTTAATGCTGGTGTCTACAGCCCTCAGGGGCCCATTTCCTGCTTCCTTCGGAGTAGTAACCATTGTTCTCCTGGGACCAGGATTTCCTCCCCTCTTCTGGCTTTGTCTTGGCCTGGAGATGAAGCCTTTTACCTCCCCTGAACCTCTTTTCCTACCCGGTCCCCACTGTTCCCATCTCTTTAGCTAAGCTAAGCTTGAAAAAATAGTTTACATTTGCTATATTCACTTTTACTTCCCATTTTCATTTAAAAATTTATGTATGTAAAACTAGGTTGCGGGCCAGGGAGATGGCTCAGTGGAGTAAGTGCTTCCCTGGCAAGTGCAAGGGCCTGAGTTCAATCCCCGGTTCCACAAAAAAAAAAAAAAAAAAAAAAAACTAGGTTGAAATAAATTAGCATCTTTTTAACACTGACTTTAAGAAAGAATATTACGTACAATTGAAAACTGTTATGTCCTCTTGATAGAATTTGTGTCCTTCCCTCCTCTCCAAAGCAACCATTAATCTAAACTTAATGATCATTATTCCAGTGTATCTCATTTTACTACTTTTTTTCGGTAGATCCCTAAGTAGTGTATACTTGAGTATGGTAGGTGATTGTCACATGTGCCCTGTGTCAGTCCTCTCAGCTATTGGAATGGTAGACCTTCTGATCTGCCATCACAATGGCTACCAAGCCAGCCAGATAGCTCAGCGGATTAGGCAGACACAGGGACTGGGGTTTGATCCCCAGCGTGCTGTGCTGGCTCCTGGGCGTGCTGAGACAGTGATTGAGACTGGGCATGATGATGCACGCCTGTAATCCCAGTGCTTGTGAGGCTGAAAACAGGAGGATCACTAGGAGTTCAGTCTGTGTAGTGAGACCCTGTAGACCTTGTACTAAATACATACATTAAAAAAAAAAAGGCTACCACTTTCTGTGTGGCATAAGTGAGAGAGTTGGGGGGCATGGCGTATGAGTGTATTGTGTCTGTTTTTAAAGCTCTTAGCAATAGTAGGGTAACATATGTTCTCTACTGTTATTTTAGCTGATCTCATGGTTGTGAGATTCATCTGTATTAACAGAGGTAGGCTTTTTTCCATTTGTGTTTCACAAGTGTATAATATTTCAGTATTTGAGTATATCGTACTTTATCCATTTTTCAACTAATGGGTGTTTATTTAGGTAGCATGTACATTCTTGCTTCCAAGTAATGTTACTTTAAAGATTTTATGTATGTCTTTTTGAGTGTTAACATTTTGCTAGAGAAATATGCCCTCTGTTAAAATTGCTCAATTATAGGGAAGCTTTAGCTTGATCACAATCTATCAAATTGTTTTCCCAAGGGGTTATTCCAGTTTACACTTACCAGCAGTTTCAGAAGTTATCTCCATTTCCATCCAGCTCCAGAGATGAGTAGCCGTTACATTTGCACAAGAAGCATGTACTTAATGCTTCAGAACTGCACACTTGCAAATGCTCAGGGTGATCCATTTTTAAATATATATTTTACCACAATTATTACAAAAAGTCTTACTGTATTGGGTATGAAATTAGTGTGTACTTTATCAGTTTTTTCCTGAGTATTAGGAAGGTGTGTTTTTTTCAATATGCTAAATACTCATGGCTTTTTACCCCAGAATACTTCATGTTTTAATCTTTTATATGTTTTTCTATTGAATTGCTTGTTTTTTTGTTATCAGTTCTTAGAAGATCTTTAGTATACATAAAGCCTTTCATTGATTATATGTATTGCTTACATTTTCTTTCTGTTTGTATCTGTTTCCATTTTTAAAAATCTTCATTTTTTTCAGTAGAAACTTATAATCTCATTGAACTTATTTTAAGATGTTCTTATTGTATCTTAAAAAATCATCTCTAAGATAAGGTCTTAATGATAGTCTCTAGTTTATTTTCTAAAGGTTTTAAAGTTTTGCTTTTCATACTTTGATTTATAGTCTTCTTTTTTGGGTATTTTATGTTTGGTGTGTAAGTATTCGGCTCTCCCATATAGTTAATTAGTTTTCTCAGCCTCATTCCTTGCATATTCCTTTCTCCCCATGGGTCTGCAGCATGACTGTGTAGTGCATACATAAAGCTCGCATAGATGCCTGAGTCCGTTTCTGGGTGCTCTGTGTTATCCTGCTGACCATTTGTTTCTTACAGTACCAGAGTTATACTTAGACTTTGGAATAAGGTTGTTTGGTGGAGCAAAAAGCCCATCCTGATTCTTCAAAATTGTCTTAGTTGCTTTTGGTCCTGTCACCTTCTCTGCAGATTTAGAAATCATTTTTCAAACCCTACAGTTGGATTTTGATTGGAAATACAGATATAACTCTTATCTAATTTTAGTTGATTCCAGAAATTGTGAAGCTTCAGAGTATCCAAGTCTTTAGTTTATTATCTTAAAAGGAAGAATTAAACAATCATCTAAAACCTCAAATAATTTCTCCCTGATTAAAAAATCTTACACATATAAGAAACCCCAATTTTTTTGTATAACAGAAAACATTTAAAAAATCTATTACATATTCACACTTACTGAACTCTCGTTGGTATGTTTCTGGAGGAGTGCAGTGCTAATCATGTACTATCAGGCATTTTTTCTACACTGCTCTGAACAAGTACCATAAATAAACAATGAGAAAATATGTTGAAGATACATGACAAATACCTCTTAGCTAATAATCAAGGCCACTTAAAAACTGATAATGTACTAATCAAAGAATTGCCCACATGAACTTTGGTGATAAGAAGTAGGAGAGGGGCTATAATGATGTTGTTCAGTAGGGTCAAGTTGTTTACTTGGGGCCAGCTAGCATATGGGCTCACTAGCAGATCCAAAGAAGAACTGAGCAAGACTGGGGAGATAGCTCAGCGGCATAAGCGCCTGCCTGGCAAGTTCAGAGTCCTGAGTTCAATCTCTGGTACCATGTGCCATGCTGCCCTGACCTTGGTTATGTAGATTAACTTGGAGAGAGTTGACTTTTTATATTTGACCTCCTCTTCATGACCATGATTTTATTTTTATTTTTTGTATTTTAGTAAAGGGTCTACAGGTTCTCACTATGTAGATTGGACTCGTAGTGATTCTCCTCTGTTCAGCCTCCCAAAGAGCTGGGATTACAGGCGCAGGTCACCACACCCAGTCTCAATCGCCATTTTAGCATGCCCCAGGGGCAGAGCCAGGATGGCCCACCAGGGATTGAACCCCAGCCACTGCCTCTGCCAAAGCAGGTGCTTTAATCTGCAGAGCTATTTCGCCAGCCTGCTATGATTTTATTTCTTATGTAGATCTATAATTTTAGTTACAAAGATACAAGGTGTGCTCAAAGCATACAGTGAATATTTAACTTAATAACGTATTACAGTAAAAGACACACTGCCATTAACTCCTTTTGTAATATTCTTTCTTGCTTTGAACGCACTTCTCTCATTCTTGCCACTTTCTGAAGCAGTTCTGGAAGTCCTCTTTTGTGAGAGTCTTTACAGGCTAAAGGACAGTGAGTTACTGCAGCCAAGTGGCATCCTGTGCAAAGGCAGGCTTGTAAAATGTCACTGTGTCCTGTGGTTGCGAGGGCCTGTGGATCAGTGCAGTGTGATAGAGTGGGCCAGAGCAGTCTGTGACTTCACATGGGAGCTGGGTTCTTCAGCTGCTGCCATAGCCCAGTCACTGGTATAGGGGCTTCTTTCTGAAATACTCAGTGTTTCACATTGGATCTTTGTGTTTGGCTTAATAGAGTTGTGATTCCTACTCTTTTGGGGCAGGAGAGGCAGCCTAGAAAATGTAGTGAAAACTATGGGCCCTCTTCTCAGCTTAAGTCATTTCTTAAAGAAATGTTCAGATGGATAACCGTGAGTAACTGTCAGAACAGTGCAAGAGTGCACAGATCCCTGAGGGATCTTGTTGAAATGTTGGTTCTGGGTCCTAGGTGTAGATTGGGGGTGGGGGGGTCTGCATCTCTAATAATCTCCCATAGTCAAGTACCCTCACAGGGTAGATTAGAAGTGGCAGAAATAAATGTGTGGATAGCTAAATGTCTTATTAGTCTTCAGACACAGTGTTTCAGTTGACCTCTGATTAGGTAGCCACTGAATGAGGGAGACTCTTAATAAACCAGTAAATGTAGAAATTAACATTTTTGTCCTCAGAAGGCTAGAAATTGTAATAAGAATTGATAATATAAACTGCCTCACAGCTTATGTGTTGGTTAGCGGTGCTGATTGGAAATGGCTGTTTTATTTAGTCAAAAGTTCCACTTGTGCTTGTCTTATTTTTTTTTTCCTACATAAAGTTCAGAGGCACTCTAAAATCTGAAAAATGAGAATGAAACAAAGAGAAGGGAAGGCACTACTTGTACAAACTTTTTTTAAGGTCCTGGGCCACTTGCTATGCTTAGACCGATGCTTTTGATGCTTTCAGAGCTGGTAGAGTTATGTAGGGGTCTTTTCTCCTAGAGCCAGTTACACCAGACTACTGTGTCTCTGGGAGATGGTTTTCCATTTGCCTGTTATTCTCAAATTATTAGCAGTGTTGTTTATCTGGCAGTGGCTTGGTCATGAATTTTTTTAGAATTTTAAGTAAATAGACTGAGGAACAAGGGGATCTAGGATGCTTGACAATTATGTGTCAGATTGATCAAGTTTCTCTGTGTAAGGCTATTGGCAAAACTTGTTTAAAAAGAGATTTTAAAACTTCATGCATTAGCTGGGTGATGGCACACACCGTCCTACTAGTACTTGGAAAGCTGCGGCAGGAGAAGCACTGTGAGTTCAAGGCTAGCCTAGGTTACATAGTGAGATGCTATCAAAAAATAAAAAAACGAAATCTTATCCTGGAGACCAATCAATTTTAGGCTTAGAAAAATCATAAATCATAAAAGGAGTAAAAAGGAAAATTGGAAGGCTATTTAAATATGAGATTCCTATCTTTTTGATATTCACCCCAATTAGTAGGGATTGAATTCAAGACCTTCACCTTGGTTTTATCTCAAAGCCCTTTTATTTTTAATTTTGAGACAGTCTTGTCAAGTTCCTCAGACTTGAACTTGGAATCCTCCTACCTTGGCCTCCCAGAATACTGGGATTACAGCCTCTTAGCTAGCTTTAATTTTTAAAAATCCTATTAATTTTTCTCAGATCAGAAGAAGTGCTTTCTGAATGGCCATCATCAAGAAATCAAATAATAACACATTTGGCAAGGCGGCAAAGGAAAAAGGAGCACTTCTACATTGTTGGTGGGAAATTCTGTTTGAGCCAGTCATTCTCCATCTGGGTATCATCCCCCAAGAGTTAAAAACATCATATTACTGTGGTCCATGGCCCATGTTCTTAGCAGCGTAATTCACAGTAGCTCAGTCTTCAAAGTGACCTGTATGTCCATCAAAAGATGAATGGATAAAGAAAATGTATTTACTTGTAGTGGAGTATTACTGTGCCGTATAGAAGGTAAGCTTGAGTCATTTGTAGGAAAAAAGACATGCCTTGAGACCATAATGTTAAGTGCAGTAAATTAGACACACACTTAGGCATCACATGATTTCTCTTACATGAGAAGCACAAAGTACAAAGAGCTAAATAAAAGATAAGTAGTGGAAAACTGGGAGATCTTTTGAATATAAAAAAGGGACTAAGAAATGAAGGGAGGGGGAGGGCAAGGAACATAAAAAGGATTAAGATGTGTTAGGAGCATGTATTTTTAGAGGGTAAATGGAAATCTTTTACTGTTACAAAATTTTAAAAATTCAGATTTTTGTTTTCCCCATCACACTTCATATAAATATCTAGGAATGTAATTAATATTTACGTGTTGTTCCTGTTCTCTGTAGATTCTCTTAGATATTGCACAGATACAGTCATGTCTTCTGAGAATAATGACATTTTGTTTCATCTTTCTTAGTTTTTTTCCTTCTGTTAGCTGTGGCACCCTAATGGAATTGGTGACAATAGACGTCTTTGTATGTTTTTTCAAGGAAATTCTTGTACCATTTCACTATGGATGTGATGATGCTCATGACCATTTTTGATGATACTCTTTACCAAACTGAAAATGTCCTCACAAAAAGCATTATTACAGAATGGATACTGTTTGGTCAAGAGTCCAGACTCTCTAGCTCTAGCGATGCTTGGATCCCCGTCTTAGCAGTATCGCTTGCTGTTTGACTTTGGATGAAATTCTTAACCTCACTGTATCATTTTTCCCAGCTATACAGTGATGGTAATAATTGTTGCTGTTTTATACAGTAGGTATAAAGATTAAATGAGTTAATATATTTAAGATAAGATTAAGTGAGTTAATATGTCAAAAGCACTTAAAACTTTGGTTGGCATGTTATAAATGTTCTGTTTACTATTTTTTACAGTTGCTATTACAAATTTTTGTCTGTTAAAAGTTTGCTTTTTGTTTTGAAATGGTGGCAAGGGATTGAATTATTTCTGTAACTGATGTTTGAGAGATTGGATTTTGCTAGCACGTTAGTGTTTGTCAAGTCCAACAGTTTCAGATTTATGCTATGATGAAGATTTAATTAGTATGACTTTTTGAAGCTTCGTGATACTTCCCTTTCATTTATATTTCTGGATTGCCTTCTGTTTTGTTGATGATATCAACCTTATCTCCTAACTATCCAAACATATAAGCATATTGTAATCATTGAAGAATCTGTTATCTGATGCTAGGGCAATGTGTTCATACACTTTTTAGTAGGTATAGATTACTTTATCTGTATTTGGATTTTATACCAACAGACCAGCTGTCCATTTATAATTATCAAACAGTTTTGGGAGGAATTTATCAAGACACTAAATTTTATTTTTTGGGTTCTCTTTTGAAAACTCATGAGTGTTGGAAAGTATGTAGGAACAAATTTTCTAAAGTTATTTGTATACAGCTGGGACTGGATTTATGGGCTGTCCTCTAACTTGCTAAAAAGCTAAAGATTGACAACTGCTTTCAAACTGCATTATCTAGCTTGGCTTTTAACTCTGAGAGAACCGTGTTCACAAATTGATGCTCTGTTCCTTTGGGGTTGGTATAGAAGCATTAAATTGTACTAAAATATTCATATGTGAGTGCATTTAGCTGAAAGCAATTGATGTTCTGTTCCCACGAGGACAGAGAGAAATGCTGTATGGACCCTCAGTCAAGAAAACACCCTAAGCATGCTTCTTAAAGATAATTACATGGCCTGGATGATCAAAGCCCTTATAAGGAGGGTTACAAGAACAAAGGAGAAGTGGTAGAGTTTGTCAACTATGGTTTGGACATATAGGTTGTGTAGTTGTGCATTTAATTACCAAAAATTAGAAGTTATTATATTTTGGTTTGTTTTCTAAGCTAATTTTTATTAGACTGATTTCATTAAGCATTTATTCCAGGGAACCAGTATCAGTAAAGTTATTCTTTACTATTTTCATGTAAAATTAGAATGTAAGTTTCATAGACTCTGTTGAATTGTTTACATATATACTGTAATTGCTTAAAAGCATCTATAGATATGAAAAATTGACATATCGAGTAGGTAGTCAGTCTTAGCAGCTGGCATGAAAATCAGTAAGGGTAGATAGCAAATCTTTGTTGTAGCTATCTTGGAATGGTAGCTTGAAAGGAATTAAACTACTCTAAATTTTTATTCTGAGAAACCAATGTTGTGTAGTTTCTGTATTTTGATATAAATTATTTTCTCATTCATAGTTGCAGGTATGATAAACATGCATAAGATAATGACTAGATGGAAATGTTAATTCAATAGATAATTGGTCATTTGCCACATATAATTCAGTACTTCATTTACTTCAGGGCCAAAGATAGAAGTATTAAGATGTGCAAAAGAACATATTCATCACTTAGGCTAACTGTGTATTAGTATTAAACAAACTTAGCTTGAAAGGAAGTTTGGGAAGTGATTTTGGGGGCTGGCAATGTACTGAATTTTCTCAGTGTGAGATTACTTCAGATCATATTTAGTTAGGCTGGAGGCATAGTAAGTTTATTGTTTGTGTAAAGATGCTACCTTTTCCCATAACATTAGCTTCACTCCTTAACACTCTAGAAAGTATTTAAAGCAGGCTGTGTAAATTGGGCTGAACTTAACAGCTCAGGCTGCTTCAACAAAACTGTATTTAGAACTATTTTATTTTATTTTTATTTATTTATTTTTGTATTTTAGGGATGGGTCTAAGGGTGTTCAGGGTCTCACTACTAGATTGGACTCAGAGTAATCTTCCTGTTTACAGTCTCTTAAGAGCTGGAATTACAGGCATGTGCCACCCCACCTGGTCTCAGTTACTGTCTCAGCGTGCTCCAGGGACGAGGCTCGCACAGCAGGCCTGGGGATTGAACCCCCCGGCCCCTGCGCCCGCTTACAGGCACTTTAATCCACTGGCTATTTGGCTGGCCCTTAGAACAATTTTAGACTGAAAGAAAAATTGTGAAATTGAGACATAGAATTTCTAAAAACTATATTTAGTTTTCCTCTGTTTATACTATTGTATGTGAACTGCTTTTATAGTTACCAAAAATACAACGTTTTAGAGTTCAGGGTTTTTTTAGGGTGTGTGTGCGTGCGCGCGTGCAGGGTCTCACTACTCAGCTCAGACTCATAGTGATCCTCCTGATTTCTGCCTCCCTAGTGCTGGGATTGCAGGTGTGTGCCACCACTCCCAGACTCCATCATCACTGGCTC